CTTCTACTTCTACTCTTAACCTATTCTAAGGGAGAGCCCAATTGGGTCAATGGAGAAAACGACGAGAACTGAACTACTATCGAACTAAAGAGGTATACTACGCACCCATATAGATTAAGCTACTTAAGTGGTAAGCCACATATAGTAACAATCAATGGGAGGTAAGGTTTAAATTATTGATTTCGATGCAATAATGGGAGGTAAGGTTTGAATCCTTGACCTCGATGCAGTAATTCGTTTCGTAATTAGGAACCATTGGGAGGGGTAGGGCATGTCTGGGCAAGAAAGGAAACAATTACCGTAAGGTTGATGATACATGATGGGGTGTCTTACAAGCTACAATTACTACAATGTTAGCAATATATTTGGATTGCATTTCACTTAATCGTGCCATGTGAGATTCCCTTTTCTTCTTCCTTCCTTTTTTTTTTGTTGCGTTGTTCTTTAATATCCAAATGTGAAGAACAGATTATCCGAATTTGATTTCTCAAAATTTGCACAGATTTCCTTATAGAAAGAAAGACTGTTTTACAACCAACGTTCTTCATTTAAGAAAAACAATACTCCCTCCGTCCCACTTTGATAGTCCTGTTTCTTTTTTCACACAGTTTAAGAAAAAGTAGTTAACTTTATTGGAAAAGTAAATTTAAATTGCTATTTTCCTAAAATACCCTCACATTAAATATGGTATAACTTTATGGGAACTTGAATTGATGGTAAAAAAAGAATCAACTCTCATTACATGGGGTAGGTTTATAGTAACAACTACTTACATTGAATAAGGGTATTTTATAAAAATTAAAATATAACTACATTTTTCAATTGGAAAGTGGACTACAATTTGGGATAGATGAAAAAGAAATACAGGACTATCAAAGTGGGACAGAGGGAGTAATATATTGATTGTGGGGTTTGCCACATTTAATCGGAAATTAAAATACATGAATGCTAACACGTAACATCAAGAATCACCAAACATATATGTCGTGGTTCTGACTTTGCAATTCTCTGACTCAAACAAACTTCTCCAGCCAGAAATTGAACAAATGACTCAAGTCCATGACCTGAATCATTAAAACCTAAACAATGATCATTTGGCCAATTCCAAGTGCCTAATAAAGAAAGGAAAAAAAAAAAGGAATTAACTCGCAAAAAAATTAAAAAAAATCGTAACGTACAAAGTCAATTAGTATTCTTGAGAAGAGCAGTGCATGGCTAATATATATATATATATATATATATATATATATATATATATATATATAGGACATGGAATAGAACTAAATCCGAGCAGAAAATCATGGTGGAGGTTACGTGGAAATGTCGTGATGGAGCTCTCTCAACCATCCCAACTACTTTCAAACGTTTGTCCATCTCTGTAATGTTTGCTTCCCTAAGCAACATAACATTCTAACATGGAGATAATGGGTTTGTCGAGTAGCAGTTGCTATGGTATGGACCGGACGAAAAGAAAAAACCAAAACCTCGGATGAGATGACTGATGAGAGGCTGAATTTTGTTTGATTGATTATTTCTTTCATGTATTAAAAGACTCATCTTCTGACCACAATTGACTCTACATGTGCACTTCTCGATGGTTGTTTTACGAAATGTTTTTTTTTTGTTTTCCCTAATTCTTTTCAATTTCCTCTCAACTCTCAACATATTATTGTTTTTATCGCACAAAACCTTCGGCAATTGTTAATGAGCTTTTTCGTCAGTGGTTTTTTGTTGCCCATTGATAGACTAACAGAAAAATTATATTTTGTGGGTCATTTTATTTAGAATATATACCATCCGATTCAATACAAAGTATAGTAGTATTGTTTTCATGAATAATTGATAGACTTGAAAACATGATGGCTAGCAGCATATATATATATATATATATATATATATATATATATATATATATATATATGAGAGAGTAGGCATTGAAACAAAACCACAGAACTTGTTAGATGTATCAAAAAGATGCATGCAAAATCGTACTTCTTTCTCAAGACAACAGAAGCTCAGGTCCATTAAGAACCAGTTCAATAATATCCCACCTTTTAAAGTGTTTCCTGAATATGATTTGAGATTCAACAATTACATCCGCCGATCCATTCTCTTTGTCAGTCGCGTTTGGATTGTATTTTCCATCATATTTCATGAAAAAATTACTGTAGCGATTTGATGTATGTGAGAGAAAAATGTAATAAGAAAATGTGTTTACGGAAAATGATGTAAATTTTCGACGGAAAACAGCAATCCAAACAAGGAGATACCCAAATATCTTGCAGAAGACATATTTTTGTTTAAAAAAAAAGAAAAATTTTGCAGAAGACCTTAATTCCATACGCTATCCTCAGATGGTTATATCATAAACTGCTTACATTTACCCTTTATTACTAGAAAGTAGCAACTGACGCCACTTGTGGGATAATTAAACTTTTCCTACCTCGCTCGGGGCAATGATTAATGTAGACAATATATTGCCTGAACGAAAAAAGCAAGCCAAAAATTAACTTTCCGTGCTAAGTTATGTTTGAAGTGAATGAAAACTTATGTTTAAATCTTCGCTCACCAACAAAAAAAGGTAATAAAGTAAAAGGAAAGAAAATTTTTTTTTGTCGGTGCAGAGGCCCCGTTCTGGGCCGAAACGTGTGGCAGCCTAGCAAGGTCAGAGTTGGGCTTGGTCTCCAGGCCCATGGGGGCCATCCTGGGGCCCACTGCCGCTAGGGCTCTCCAGTGCCCCAGAGAACAATCCCGCAGAGGGTAGGGAGGATCCCCCTCAGCGCGGGATTGAGGCTCTTCCGGGTAGATCCCGAAACGTACGGAGGTCGGACTCTCGAGCAGGTATATATAATAACGCACACCGACTGCAGAAGGTACGCTCACTATCGGCAAAACGCTCCCAACAGTTTTACTCTCAGTAAACTCCACTCACCGGAAAATTAACTTGACCGTCGGAACGCCCTCGGGGATAACCTCGGGGCTCCCCTGTTAGTCACCCTATAGACTACCTCTTGTTTGTTTTGCAGGATTGGGACACGTTCTTCTCATCAGCACGCCGAGCTCATCAGGTCAGTTCGGTCCGGAGAAGCTCAGTGCTTCTTCAGTTTTGGTCCAACCGTCAGCATCTTGGGAGAATATATATTTTTTCACTTCCTCTTCTTTTTATTCTCACGTACAATTCAGGTATGTGAAAATCATTTCTTAAAAGGAAATTTGGAAGCGTGCAAGAGCTATATTTTTCAGAGAAGAAGCCTGTGAATTTACTGAGAAGTAAGTGTTCACATCCATTTGGATTAAGGGTCTTGACGACGAACTTGATATCTTCTCAAATTCCTCTGATTGTTTAGAAACTTTGGAAAGAATTTGAATTTGTAAATTATTAATTATTCCAGAGTTTAAAATGAACTAAGAAAAAAAATAATTGTTAAATTACAAACTCAAGTGCTTGTTAAGCAATTTATATACACCAAAGCATTTTGGATGAATTTCAAATTTTTCATCAAATCTCGAAGCTCAAAATGTCGGTCTAAGTTGAAAGAGTCGTCTGCGAAATGCTTGCGATTAAAGGAGAATCGTGAACAGAAAGATTAAAGGATCTTCAGCAGTGAAAGTTGCATTGATGTTAAGTTAGTGTACAGTATACATTTGTCTACGAAGGGTGGACCGGGTTATTATTTTTGTGCCTGGAACGAAAGTTAGGTGCCAGTTGCCATTTGCACTATACTGTACTGTTTCCTTTCCTCTTTCACTTTTACGCCAAAATTTTGGTAATTTGATTGAAATCTAATAAGTTGTCCCCTTTTTTGAGCTGTGAATTATGTTTTGCCAACTCGTACGATTAAAGTTCGTTAGCTTTGTTTGTCTTCGTATACATGTTTGGCAAAATTGATAAGAAAAAAAAAGAAGAAGCAGCAAGTCGTTGTTTCTTCCCCAGAACCGGGTAGGGGAAAATGCAGATGATTTTGTCGCCAAGATGATATTTTGTTTCTATTTTCTTCTTTAACCATTAGTTTATGGATCACCATTTCCGCTAATTAAGGCTTTGCTTGGATTGAAGGTTTTCGTCGGAAAATATTATCGTTTTCCGTGATCACATTTCCCTATTACCTTTTTCCCTCACATATATCAAATCGCTACAGTAATTTTTCCATGAAAAATGACGGAAAATGCAATCCAAACACAACCTAAATCCTCGGGAGACCTGGACCGTGATGTGATGGTTCTTCTGAACAACAAACCTTACCATATGACCGAGTAGAGATTTTCACAAAAACTTGTGTACCCAAAAGTTGAAAAGGGCTTACATAAATATACTTACGTTTCATACTTTATTTATTCATTCATCTAAACATATTTCAAGTGCATCAATTAGGGTTACCTGATATTCGAGAAGGAGTGAATGAGTTGTAAGAAAGAGTGGCACTTTAGTTTAGGCCGGGATAGATTTGAGAATTTGGGCTGGAGCCCTCCTTCTAATCCAAGATAGAGAATCGAAAAACAAAATCATTATGATTAAATGGATTAATTTAAACAAGTGGCGCTTGAGCCTGAAGGCAGCAGGAGCTATGGTGCTTCTGGATCCTCAGGAGCTACAAAAGATTTGCAACTGTTTACTGGGCTTTGAGCTACACTTGGCCCAACATGATTATTTATGCCTGCATATCCATATGCTCCTTTTCTTCCATTTCTGTTGGCACCCAAAATTATGAATCTGTTAAACTTCCATTTGCTTGCTTTGACCGCCTCCCAAAAAAAAAAAAAAAAAAAAAGTGGAACCTTGTTTTTGCTCCCATCTCTTTCTTTACTTGGGTAGGTTTCTACTATAATTGGCGTTAGCTCATATAAGGTAGTAGTGTTTAACAGGTTTGATGACAGGGTCCGACATTGCAAACACGAAGCACTGGATTCCCACAATAATAATAATATTTTATCAGAGTGCTGGCTGGCTTTTCCTTGGTTGCACAGGTAATAAATAAATAAACAAACGGAAAATGTCAAACTGCAAAACATAGGAGGGTTTCTATTAAAAGAGTACAGTGCTGCTACTGATATAAAGTGGGGAAATTCACAAGCTGAAGGCGGCAGGCTAACAACTGCAATTTACCCTTTTTCCTTGCCACGAAACCAATTCACTCTTACCAAGACTCGAATACATTTTATTCTCATTCATTCTACAATGGAATCACCAAAAAGAAAAGGGATCTTCCTTCTTTTTGTCTTTTTTTTCAACAATGCCAAAATGGATTGTTTCACAAACAAGAAATCAAACGCACCGAATTAGTTAAAAACACTTATTTGTAGTAAAAGAAAAGAAATAGTAGTACGTGTCACCGGATCAAACAACATATGGCACACATTGCTTGGGCGCTTGCAAATGCCAAATCCAGTTTTAGGGCTCATTTACTTGGAGGAGGATGATTTCCACCACATCCCCAGCCCCAACACCCACCTTGGTTTCCTCCTCCTCCACCTCCCCATCCCCAACCTTCTCCTCCACCCCCTCCTCCACCACCGCCGCCGCCACCACCGCCGCCACCACCACTCCCACTTCCCCAACCATGGCCTCCACCATTTCCACCACCACCGCCTCCTCCTCCACCCCCACCCCCACCTCCACCACCGCCGCTGCCAGCTCCTCCTCCGCCACTTCCTCCCCTTCTACCGCATGTATGTTTTCCTCTCCTTTTCCTCCTTCCACCACCTCTCCCTCCACCACTACCACTACCACTTCCACCGCCTCCACCTCCACCTCCACCGCCACCGCCACCGCCACCACCCCCTCCTCCTCCACTACCTCCATAGTGCGCAACCTGATTGCCATTTGCTTCCATAACTTGATTACCTGAAGTTGCATTGTTTTCTTGCTCGCGTCCTGTTTCAACATGCAAGCCATGTGGCAGCTTCTTTTCAGAACTCGTACCGTTGTGGTGATCAATCACACTCCCATCCTTTGCACGTTGACCATGCAAACCACAAACAACGTACGGGCTAATCAGCAATACAACAAACAGCAATGGCCCAAACCCCATCTCTTGTGATGACTCACGACCCAAAACAGCACGATAGAGATATCCATTTCGTCGTCCATTATATACTAAGCCAAGCATATGGCTTGCGTAGCCACCTACAGCTAGGTACACAGCGTCCCCACTATAACCAATTAGAGTAGCTACTGAAGATCCTTCCAAAGGGCTCTGCCGGAAAAGATTGTAAACAAGTACTACTTCCTTGCAGCTCAAATTTGTCCCCACTTACGTTGTCCCTTTCTAACGCATGCGTACGAGCTGAAATCTTCACTCTTCACACCTCAGATTCTCTTAAAGTGTTCGTTTGTTGAATGATTTATGGGCTTTAACTAAGTATATTGCCAGGGTTGAAGTCATGTTATAGTACTTTTCATATACACGTGTATTAGTATATTAACCTTCGGGCATGGGAGGAATGATATACTGCTAAACTTTGGAAGTGGATTCTTTGGATTACTAGCATAAAAATATCCCAGAGCTCGTCAAATGTTCATTTAACCATGAGCCTGGATAAGAATTGACCGCTTTTCCGTGACATTCTAGCAGTCTAATTTCGTTCAACTCCCAAAAGCCACGTAGTTTTGGGTTCAACGAATTGATTACATAAGATTCATGAAGATAACGAGGAATTTGAACCTTAGATTTAGGGAAAATAAGCACAACGATGAGGAATTAAGATGCATTTACACATTGAATTTGCGAGAAGATCGAGTAACAAGTCTAGCCATGATAAATTAGGCTCAGCTTTCTTTTTGGCTCAATTTCATCAAAACCAAATGCCGCACTTAAAACGGAGCTCAGTAGAAATTCATTCGGTCGTGCGAAAGCTAATATGACCAGGAGATTAAGGAGGAGGTTTTATGCAGTGGAAGTGCCTTTTCGGAAGTCAACCGTCCGAATCTGCACAAGTCAAGAAATTTGCGAAACTCCTCAGTCACCTCTTTAAGCATTTTCAGCATCAAATGTTTTCACACCGCCACAGCAAATCTTCGGTCGAACAAAAAGAAACGTTAAGGCCACTTAACAGAAGAGAGAAGCAGGAAGTTTTGGACGTGATCTTATCATTACTTTCCTATGGCTGCAGTGGACAAATAAATGTGTGGACGCGTAAGCTTTTCGATCCAACGAGAGTGGAAACAAAGAATCAAAAGTAATCGACCTTTACTCATGGTTTAAGGATTGAGTCCAGATCCAAATAATTTCTTCGTTTGGAACGAGAATCACGGTGTTGCCACCTTCTCCCCCTTCCTTTTCTATTTTCAGGAAAACGTGTCTTCTTCATGTTATATATGGTATGCCTCCTTGATCGTATAGAAAACCCCATTTGACTCCCTCTGCTATACTTTACCGGTATGATTCCTAAAATGAGAAAAAAAATATTTACTCCACCAACACCAAATTAACTAGAGTAAATGAACTCAATTAAACTAGAGTAAATTAATTGAAACAACTCATGGTGATGAAGAATACGCTCCGCACCTCATTTCTTGAAAAACATTAGCTGTTGCAGATCGATGCTGTAATTAATCATGTAGTAAAGTAGTAATATATGTATTTATTTTGCATGAAATTAAGACAAAAGTTAGGTAGAGATGAACTTAATTAAGTAAAAAGGGATGAACTTAATTATTTGTATACTGTTTCATTGACAGTGGTCCGTCAATAAATTAAGATGCAGCCTGTGATGAAATGTACTCTTATCTCTATGAGGAATTGGCAAAAAAACTATTAATTGCTCGTTACAAAAGACAAATAATACAAGTCAAAGAGAAAAATCCAGGTACAGAGCCAAAGCTAGCTGAAAGGTGACATATTTCTCCCACCAAGTTGAGTTTGCATACTCAAGATCGAGTTCATGCATGCCCTGCCCATCGGTACTTTAATTGTGATGGCCTATGGGTATTGGCGTACTTCACTTTCTTGCCATTGGATGCGATGATGATGATAGCATTGTGTAGCAATCACATTATTAAGGGGCACTGCACTTCCCATTGCTTTGATATTTTTGGTGGAGACAGATTGACAGTGAGGTCACAGTGATCATACGTTGAAGTAAGAAGCCATTTTGGCCTGGTTTGAATAGCTCAAATCTTGATTTACCAATTATTTTTATTTTTTCAACTATATCTACATCCTTGACCAATTCAAGGCAAGGCCAGTTTTATTTTATCCTTTCTTGAGTTTACTTGTAGACTTGATACAGTTTATTGTCGGCTGAGTTCGTTCTAAGGAAATATCAATATCATCAGATACTGACAAAGATCAAGCTGGATGCTCCAACATTGAAGTTAATGTCTCACCTTCTACCCCTTTGAAACTCTCTATTTTTAAACTGCATAGAAAGAGAGGGTGGCATCCTTTTCTCTTTTCTTGGGTTTGAAATTCGTGAAGATCATCACACACAGAAAAATGGAAAACTCTGTCTTGAAATTTCGTACTTCATACGCCGTATAACTCTGCATGATTTTTTTTTTAAAACCCATTTTTCATATTCTTTTACAGATATAGTACGAGGAGGTTGTTTACAGGAACATATATATACATATATATATATAGACTGAGACTTATAAAACTGAAGAAGGATTGAGTCGAGTAATTACGGGTAAGTACATGCACAGATTTAAGAGCTACTCTAAAAAAAAATAAAATAACAATCTTCTTATTACTTTGAACTTGCTAGGTCACCTAGGATGGAATTACACGTAAGAACCGCTCAAACTGCTTATGTAGTAGTTATTTAGCAGAACAAGTCCCAGATTAGAGAATGGAATGAACTAGATAGGTCACCTAGGATGAAATTGTACGTACGTAAGAACAACTCAAAGTTCTTCTGTAGTTATTTAGCAGAACAAGTCGCAGAATAGAGAATGGAAGGTTGGTCAACGAAATCCTTGTTGTAGGAAATAGTCCACACATACTAGCCTCTATTCTCTTTTTTTTTTTTGTTAATCAAGAACGACAAGTACTAGAGTTTAATGTTTGAACTCAAAAGTATTAAAACTCCACCTAACCCTATGACTTCTGAATTAGTCAAAGCCAACACTCACACGTACCATCGATCTAGAGGCCAACCCTTTTGCGTATTTGACCGAGAGTTCAACTTAAAAAATCATCGACTAGAAATTATGAAATATCTAATTAAGTGATGGATCGAAATATGAGAATATGAAATACGTCATCATTTAATTTGTGTCTACCGTAGAAGTTGTAAGTTATTTAGAGTAAATTTTTTTTTAACTAAATAGTCTTTAATTTTCACTTATCATTAACTTGAAGGTTGTTAAAAGCATTTTCAATTCACTGTTTTACTGGGGACGCCCGCATAATTTCGTCTACCAGCTATTTTTTTTTTTGATGAAAGTGTGGGTCAATCTTATTGTGTAGTAGATTGTGTGAGTAGCCAATATAGAATTTGTGTTGCAGGAACCACGAGAGTCGTAACCCAGCACATATACTATCTGAAAAAAGCATCGTGACAGATTAAAAGGACAGAGAGAAAAGAAAGGGGGGGGGGGGGTGGATTCAAAACTAGCATATTCGATATTGATGATCGTGACAGATTGCTGATTTAGAATTTGGGATAATTTCAGAAACCTCTCGTGACGTTTATGACTATTTCACTGGACTCTTTTTGGATTTCTAAAATTATACTAACCTCTCCTAAGATTAATTATCTTGTAACATTTAAGTCCAATTAATAATTAAAGAGGAATATTAGGAGAGAGAAGATAATATGATTTCATTATTGCCCCTTGTCTACTATATTATTTAATTAATTTAATACCAACCCATATATTAAAGAAAAACACTAAAATTTGCTATTTATCATTAGGAATTAAATCACATATAGTATCAAAAAAATAGTATATCATTTTATATTTTTCACTTCATATAGAATCTAAATTATTCTTTTCATTTACATACCCATTAGGATCTTATATAAAATGATATACTGTTTTTGATATCATATGTGATTTTATTTCTAATGATAAATTGCAAATTCTAGTGTTTTTCTTATATTTGGGGTTGTACTAAATTAATTAAATAATTTAATGGATAAGAGACAATGATGGAATCATATTAACTTCTCTAACCTAATATCACTTTTAAACTGTTGGTTGGACCTAAATGTTATAAGATAATAAATCTTAAGGCAGGTTAGTGTAATTTACAAAATTTGAAGGAAGGCCAATGAAATAGTCAGAAACCTTAGTAAGACTCTTTCGTGCATTAGTTTCTTCTCTTGCATTCTTCAAAACAATCCGCATTGAAAATATGCAAGCTCCACGGGATATGTCATATGTGTGTATTAGAGTCTAGAGATTGTCAATGGTGTCATGGTATTCAATACCATAGTCTACAATCTAGACTTCAATTTACAAAGCTTTCGTATGTAAACGTAATAGATGCAAAAACTCAGTTCTTTTTGTCTGAACCCAAAAAAGAAAAAGGGCCAAAACTGGAGTATTGTTGGACGACATTATGATCACTTTTTAAAATTATTTTGGCCACATCTGGTGAGACATGATTTTCAGCCTGCAACATGAATCTTACCAAAAACGGACAATTCTATCTGGTGAGTACCGTTTTTGGATGAGGAAACACTTTCCGTTTATTTCCCATGCTTATCTAAATAATATGGAATTCAAAAAGGTTAACAAGGAAAAAGAAAAAAAAAACATGACATAAATATATGCGGATCTGAAATCAATAAATACAATATGATCATATAAATTTAACCAACATGATTTTAGTTTGACATAGACCAACATGTTTTTTAATTTGAAGAATTTAGATCAGGTCATAAACTAAAGCATTCCCAAGGTTGCAGATCGAGGTTCAAAAAAGAGTTAAAGGATATGTGTTTTTAGATATTTTGGAGAGTGTAACTTCTTATTATTACCACTATTTCCGCCTCGATCCATTAATTCCTGCGTTAATTTATTGAAGAAACAGGAATCCTCAAGCGCGCATCCGAACAACACACGTTGGACAGGTCTCTGGTCTCAAGAATAACTCCGAC